CCGGGGGGGGGGGGGTTTGTTCATTTAATTCCAACCCTTATTGTTTGGACCTTTGCCTTCCCTTCCTTCCACCCCCGGGGGGGGGTTTTTTCCCCGGTTTTTTCCCCCCCCCCCGGGGGGGGGGGGGCGGGGGGGGGGCAACGTTCCGGGGGGTTCCTTGCCCTTCCCGGAAGCCTTTTTTCGGGGGGTTGCCCCGCTGCAAACGGTTCCCCCCCCCCCGCCCATTTTTCCCCTTCCCCGGCCCCAAAAGTTTTCCCCTTTGGCGGGGAGGGCGGGTTCGCCCTTCAGGGGTGGTAGGTGTTTTTCTTTTGGTGTTGGGGACCCCGGTCCCTGGCCCTTCGGTTCGGTTTTTTCCCCCCCGGGGGGCCGAACGGGGCTTTTTCTTCCCCCCCGCCCCCCGGCCAGCGGGGGGGGAAGCCTTTTCCCTTCCCTGGGGGTTTTTTTTTTTTTTTGGGGGGGGGGGGGGGGGCATGTTGCTGTGAAAAAAAAAAAATCGTGGGCTTGTTTTTGCGGCGGCGGTGTCCTGGGGAAAACAGCAGAAAAAGAACAGCTTTGAGTTATGGTGCAGCTGTAGGCTAAAGGGAGAAATGAGGACACACAGAAGAGACACAAAAGAGCGCCATCAAATGTAGCCTTCTTTGGCCTGCGTTAGCTCCAGCCCGTCGCGCACGCCTCACACGCCGGGTAGCTCGTGCGGGAAAAGCCAATCTTGAGCTAACACACCAAGGGTACCGCTGTTCCCTCCTCACCTTCCAGCTTGTGGGCGTTGCAGTAGTGGGCCCTCTTCTGCTCGACCGCACCGCCGCCTCCGCCGGGGCCATACCCAAACACCGGCCGGCGCACGCACCCCTCCTGGTGACACCTGCGAGTGACCACGTCCACGTCCCCGGCCTTGCGGTGGGCGGCGCAGGCGCTCGCCCTCCTCGAGCCCTGGCTAGCGAACGACGGGACCACCAGGCACCCGGGGGCGACGCAGCGCGGAGCCGCCAGGTTAAGCATCCCCTCCGACCGGTGGGCCGCGCAGAACTGCGGCTTGGACCCCGGCGCGCCAAACGACGGTTGTCGCCCGCACCCGTCGGCCTCGCACCGCCGGGAGGCCACGTTGACGAAGCCGGCGGGCTTGTGGCCCGAGCAGAACAGCGGTCTGCGGGTGCCCTCGGCGCCGAAGAGCGGCCGCCGCTTGCAGCCCTCCATGCCGCACGTGCGCCGCTTTTTTTTGGCACGGCTGTTGCTGCTGCCCGCCGCCGATGTCGTCGACGTCGTCGTCGTTGTCGTACGTCTCGGCTTTTGTCTCCGGGTCTGCTGCTGCGAGTTCGGAACGCTCGCGACGTCGCCTGGAACCGGCATCATCCGAAGACCATCTTCGTCGTGGTCGGCGGGGGCCCCGCCGACTAACGCTGCCGTAGGGGCCCCTCCCGATAGACCTTCCGGCCGCAGGGGCTGCGGGCTCGACAGCAGCGCAGCCTCCGTCCCCACGTCGATCCCGGCTTCGTCTGGCAGCGGTAGCGCGGAAGGGTGGACGCCGCCGCCAAACGGAGCCCCGCCGACCGGGACGCCTTCGCCTACCGACGGCGGCGGCAGCGGGGCCAGCGGCACGGCGACCTCCGCAAAACCGGCAGGTGGGGAGGCATCGCGACCGCATGCCCTGCCATCGTGCCCGACGACGGCAAGGTCAGGTCTAACAAGCTGCGGCGGCGCGGTTGCACCGCCAGCGAAGACCGAAGAAAGCATGCCCGCTGGCTGGTCGGGGAGCGGTGGCGGGAAAGCTGCGCTGGTCCTAACACTATTTCCTACGCCAATCTCACACACACCCCGCGCACCATCGCCGGGGCCAAACGTGCCTACGCCTGTGCGGTTCATTGGCGCCGAAAACGGCCCCAGCGCTGCGTGAAAGGGACGGGGACCGTGATCTCCCGGGAAATGGGCGACAGTAGTAGCACTGCTCGCCACTTCGGCTACGGCTGTTACGGGATCGATGAACGCGTCGGCGCGTGCGCCGTCGACTTCGAGAGCCCCAGCCGCAGGCGGGGCTGAGCCGTCGGCCCCCTGATCGACGAGCCCAACCCCGCTCTCAGCAGCTTCTCCGGCCCCGGCATGGTGCGCCCGAAGCTCCCGCGCAGCCCGCTTGCTGTGGGGAAGTTCTACCTCGTCGTCATAGCCGTCCTCAGTAGCGGTTTGGTGCGATCGTTTGCCGGTGGTGACGCCGTGTTCGGTGGTCGTCCCCGGTCTTTCCGCAAGGTGGCGCAGAAACGGCACGGGAAATACGCCTCCGGAGGTGGCCGGTCCGGGAGGCTCCTGGTGGTGGCCGTTGCTGACGTTACCGCCGCTGCTGCTGCTGCTGGGCGCTGTGGCTTCCGGTTCCGTCGACGCGGCAGCAGCCGGACGGGCTAACGCTGCGGTGGGTCCTTCAGGCGGCGGCGGCGGCGGCCGGAAAGCCTCGATGTCTACCGGCCTAGAGGCAGTGGCGCCCATCCTGTGTTGGTACAACAAACATGTTTGGGAGGCAAGGTGTTGCGGAGAGGTTCAACAGAGGAGAGGGGTTCAACATGCGGGGCTGGCGGAGGGAAGCAATGCTTACCATTCCCTCCGGTGGCGTACTGGGTGGACGCCAACGACTAACAGTTCTGGATGCGACAACGGCAGCAATGAATCTCCATGGTAGCACAAACTGAAGGGGACAATAGTCTACCAGAGGTACACGCAAAGAGAGCCAGCCCGTCTAACAATACGTAAGCGTTGCACTTTGAGAGCGCGGAAACAAAAAATCGCAATTTTGAACGCCAGAGGACAGACAGATGTGCCCCAGGGTATCATCGTCCTGGGTTCTTATGAACCCCCCCGCTCTCCCTGTCTCTCTCTCACCTTGCCGTGCACGTGGCACCCGGTGGAATCCCGGTGGTCCGTGAGTATTGCACCGCACCAAACAGTCCCGGGGGGTGCGCAACCTGGAATTTCATATACCTAGATGACGAAAATGGGGCTCAGTAGAAAATGATCAGCCGATCAGCAGGCAACGATCACCAATCCACACAGCGCTGCAGGCCGGCGAGAAGGATAGCTGGCATCAGAGTCACGGGGGGGAGCGGAAAGGCCGGGATTGTCTGTTACTTCGGTTCTTGGCTTCGAGGAGAGGGGCTGACGCTGGAGGGCAGTGTCGTCCTGTGTCCAGGTACAGAACCACAAGCCTATTTGTTCCGCAACGCACAGAACACGTCCGTCGTCGACGCAAGGCGTTTAGTTTTGGTGGATAGCTGTTGGCGCCGGTGCTTCTATCGTAGTGGGCGCACGCATCGAGAGCAGTACACGGATTTTGTGCGGCAGTCGCCTCGCATCGTTACAGCTCACTAGAGATTCGGCAACAGCAGTACAACAACGAAAAATCAAATATTTTTTGGCATCGCAACGGCAGCAAGAGAGCCGGTAGAGCTGGGAGATTGCCTGCGGGAGATGCACGACAGCACCGCGACCAGTAGCATTACGGACATGCGCGAAGCTAGAAATACCTTTACAGCGGCAGCACAGCAGTCGTCACAACAGCGGTCAATTCGCGTTTTGTCAGCCGCTGAAAAATGTACAGAATTAAAACAATTTGCTGCGTGTAAACCTGCGGAAATTTCTCGGCCCCCATGGGCGGATGGCAGTATTTAGTCGGTGGTCCTCAATAGCGGTAGGTAGTAACAAGAGGTTTTGGTGACGCTATAGAGGGCACTGCCGCTATTCCAAATAGGGATTGTACTGAGAAATGCATTGGTGTCAAGCGATTTCGGTGCCGCTATAGAGGGCATTCCGCTATTGACGGTACCGTTATTGAGGACCGCCGACTGTATACCGTATACGACACAAGATAACACACCCCCTGGACCAATTTTCAAAGCTCGATTGCGCCACGACGAAGAACATGCATAAACGAAACGGTACATTTTCGGAAAGCCCTCGACAAGGCGGCTTCAACGCTGCCGTTTTGGGCGTTGTGACTCGTTTTGCGGTGGAGAAATCGAGCTTTGAAAATCGGTCCAGGGGGTGTGTTATCTTGTGTCGTATTCGGTGTAGGTGATATGCGTGGCAATGGACGTGACAATCACATGGCCCCGAGCGCCAGCAGAGCTCTCTCGACGACAGTGAAATTGTTACCATGGAGTATTGAAAACAAAGGCATGTCCACGACTACCGCCTGGCACAAAACAGAGCATGCCAAGAAGGTGGGGGAAAAGTAGCAGTTGGCTTTCAGAAGGGTGGTGTTGAGTTGTTCCCGGCTTCTTGTCCGCGCACCCGTGTACGACACAAGATAACACACCCCCCCGGGGACATGTAACATTTTGGCTTTAATATGGAGTTTATCACCAATATCACCTAGTGTTGTATTCCGTAGGGGGGGGGTGCTATCTTGTGTAGCCCGGGTGATAAAGTGGTCGCGGGGGGCATGAGGGGGTGTGTGATACTGCCGCACGCACTTTGCAGGGACCTTAGGTCTGGGAAAACGGGACGAGGGGTGTCATCACTGCCCGCAGCACAGAATGACCTTCCGTGCCTGCGGTCACACGTGCAGCCGGCTTGGTATTGAGGGGGTGCGATACCCCTGCCTGCATGACACTACCGTACGTACTGCTGCCGCATTTGCAGGGTGTGTGGTACTGAGCGGAGGTGGTGCCACTGACGCACGACAGCGAAGTACCTGCCGAGCGTGCCTTGCAGTCTTGTGGAAACGGTGAAGGACCGCTTTGCTACTGTGCTCGTTGGCAGCGCACAACAGCTAATATTCCGTTGCGTCAAAATATACCATATTGTTTGTGTAGCTGCCCTTTTCTCACCCCGTGCTCTCGACCGCACGACGCACACTCGCAGGCAACGCCGACGAGGCTGCGATGCTCGGCAGGGGCGGCGGCGGGCGGGTAGAGAGCGAGGATGGCCACGCCGACAGCCCAGTCGGCATCGAGCTCAAAGGGATAGAAGGTGTGATGATCGACCTCCTGGGGGTTTGTGCGGGTCGAGAATACAGGGAGAAACTTCGCTACTACTCCTGTCTCTCCTGTGTCATACGTTCTCTATTTCTTTCGCTGTCCGTGTTCCGCCTGTTTATGGTTGGCCTGCTCTCCTAGTTGGTGCTTGCTCGTGGACAGCCTCGGGCGCTTGCGCCGAGGCGAGTGCAATACCAAGACTTAATTCGAAAAGGTTTTTTACTCTCACCACTAAATCTAAATGGTTGGTTCTGCTGGTCAGCGTGAGCTGCGTCGAATTGCGACTAGACCGGGAGGGGAAGTGATCCTTCTCCCCTATCTTGTGGAAGTGTGAAACTCGCACTTTGTCAGAACTCGCCGTGGTGCCTCATGGCGAATCTCGCTCCTCGCTTTGTGCTGAAAACCCGTGACTGCCTGGCAGGGGGCGAACAAACCTACCTGTTGTGAGTGCAAAAGCGATCACACATGCCTTGTACTATAATAGAACCGATTTGCCGAAGCTCGTTTGCTTCTTACCCGCTAGGGTACGAAAGCCCGCATCGGTGCGTGCAAGGAAATGTCACGATAGAAGTTATGATCGTACCAAGGCACACCCTTTTCGATGTTAGCACACCTCTGGACCAATCGAGCCACGATACTTGGTCTCGAGGGTGTGTGTGTGCGCGATGCATCGCACTTTTATATACAAGTACGGTACACCAAGATGTCGCTCGTCTCCGTTCTCTTTTGGCGCTTGCAGATGTAGTAGATACCCTTGTTTCACACCGCCACCAGCATACGGTCAAGCACGGGACTGAAAACATCATATACCAGGCCTTCCCCGTGACAGCCTCATTCTCCTCCCTTTTTTGCCGCTGGTTGTTTTGGGGCGCATTTATTGTTTTCCTTTTCTCTTTCGACGGAAAAAGATCGACAAGGGAGTTCCTCCAGAAATGGTGGCTTTTCCTTGGTTGCCAGCAGCGACGACGACGTGGAGCAATTGGTTGGGGCGGGGGGCGACGCTGTTAACGGCGGCAAGCGGGCGGGGGGGGACGACCCGCGGCTGCACCTGAGCTCCGACAGGAGGACGTTCGTTAACCTGCTCATTTCTTTCGTCGGGGCCGGGGTTCTCGGCATCCCGTTCGCTTTCAGACAGGTGTGGGTGCTTCTTCCGTACTGATGACTTATGTAGCTCACGGATCTTCGTGTAATACACGTTCATATACGGGAGTTATCAGCATCCCCCCGCGTTCGTTTACAGGGGTTTTCGGCTTTCAGACAGGTGTGGTGCCTCTTCAACACTGATCACTACTGTAGCTCGCGGATCTTCGTGTACTACACGTTCTCATACGGGAGTTGCCAGCATCCCCACGTTCGAATACGGGAGTTTTCGGCTTTCGGACAGCGGTGCTGCCGCTGCCGCACCGTAGCTCTTACTGTAGTGCGCGAATCGTTGTGTATACGAGAGTTGTCGGCTTTCAGACAGGTGTGGTGCCGCTGCCGCACCGTAGCTCTTACTATTGTGCGCGAATCGTTGTGTACTACACGTTCATATACGGGAGTTCTCAGCATCCCCCCCGCGTTCGTATACGGGAGTTCTCAGCATTCCCTCGTTCGCTTTCAGACAGGCGAGTGTGGTGTTCTCTGCCGCACCGTAGCTCTTTCTGTCGCGCATGAATCGTTGTGTACACGCCTTCAAAAAACGAAAAATTTTGGCAAGCTATCTGCGCAGATCGAGCGTTTTCTCGATGGACTCCTTCCCCGAACTCGGCCTCTGCTTGGCTTGCTGATGCTCCTCCCCGCGCCGCGCGCCTTGTTTTTTGATCGTTTATCCCAAGGGAGGGCTGTTGCTCTCGACAGGGGTGTTGTCTATGGTCGGGGTTGTGTGCACATACTGCATGTGGATGCTCGTTCGGTGCAAGTACCGCGTCATAGCCCTCAGGGGGAAGGTGAGTCAAGCAGGACATAGCCTGGCCCGTCACGGGTGCTCGAGTCCTCGATTATGAGGTGTTCTAATATTTGCGGTTCATCGTTTTTTCATGTTCGACAGCTGTAGTTGTCCTCGGGCCGCAAGAGTACCACGGAGGGTTGGACGACACACGTCAAGTGTTTTTTTGCAGGCCAGATATTGCAGGGGTTGGCTGCCTGCACCCGAGCTTGCCGTGGGGTACTCAGCGACTCGCGCTAAGAGCGAACCCTCTCTCTGCTTGCCCGCTGTCCCGAGAAACTGCTGATGCGTGTGAGGCGTGCATACAATAGTTGCGCCGCACAACCCAGCGACCGTATTTGCGGTAGATATTTAGCGTTGTTGTTGAGGTTTGTCTGCTCTGGCTCTCCCCGGAGGAATTCTTCTCCCCCGGGCTCTGCGCTCGAATCGAGCAAGTCCTCCTGTTGGCACCACACCGTCATCAGTCTTGCAGCCCCCCCCCTCCACCCCCCCTCTCATGTTTTACTCTTGGCTGCGTGCCCCCCATGTTGCCGTGGTTCCACGTACCACCGAACTACGGGCTTGTCACCGTCGTGAACTTGGAAAAAAGAGTGGGTGATCGCCTTTGTTGGTGGAGTGCTTCTTCGGCGACTGCTGTATCGATGCCCCACGCCGACTCGGCAACACCCTCCCGGGGTCGCCTTGGATTGACGGCGGCCGGTGACATCCATTTCACGGCAGTGGTGTGATATATTTGGAGGCGGGCAACCATTGTCGTCAGAAGCGCAGAGAAGAGAGGGTTGACTCAAGACCTTGTGTCTTTTAACGAGTTCGCAGGGCATACTAGCCCATGCACGCAGAAGGGCGATCGGCCCTCAGCATACACATACCGCAATGACACACGACCCCCCCCCCCCTAATCCTCCGTAGACAGTATCGAGTGCTGAGTACCGCCGCCAAACTTGATTTCCACGTTCGCACGACGAACAGAGGCCGCTGCCGCCGTCTTATGCCTACTCCGGTGCACGTAACGTTTCCCGCGCGGCTCCGTTGCTTTTCATTTCGACTGCTACAAAACCCTGTTTTTTTTTCATGCACGATGACGTCATGCTTTGTTTGCGGGCCACACTCTACAATATACACGTAAGGATGAACCTGGGCCGGTGAAGTATCCAGACATCTGCGAGGAGGCGCTGGGGAGGTGGGGGCTGGTGGCTGTCGAGGGAGCGCTCGTTGCGTCGCAGTCGGGCTTCGCGACGGCTTACCTCGTGTTCATCGCCAGGTACGCGCTCATTGTCGTTGTTGTTGTTGTTGTTGTTGATGTTTGTGTTGTTGCTGTTGTGTTTTTTTTTTTTGCTGCTGTTGTTGTTAATGGTGGTTTTGTTTTATGGTGGTGATGGTGGTGATGGTGGATATTGCTGTTGTCGTTGCTGTCGTTACTGTCGTCTTCGTTGGTTGGGAGCTTGGAGCGGGCCCGGGGTTCGGGACAGTGTAGTCTTCGTCCGCTAGGTGCGCGCCTCTTGTCGTTGTGGTCTTTGCTGTCGTTGTCGTTGTTTGGCAGCTTCGACGGCCTACGTCGTTTTCGTGGCAGCATGTGTGTCATGCGCGGGGAGAGTGAAACGATTGGGCTGCTGCAATTTTTTTGGGATTAGGGGACAATCTCCCCCGTTACCGCTGTTGTCGGAGCTTCCCAACAACGCGAGCTGCGGTGCCCCCCCCCCCCCCCTACTCGCCGTCTTCCATCCCGAAAGACCTTGCGTGTCGAATGTGGGGAAAATAAAACGCAGGCGACAGAAAGACGGACGCCCTCCGTACGCTTTTAGTGTAGGGTGAGGCAAATGGTAAACGAGAGCTCCCGATGATCGTTGGTGTTGTTTCTGTAAGACTTGAACGAACCTTTCCAAGAGTACCCGTAGGAAGAATCGCTTTGCTCGTCACAATGACTAAACGCGAGTAACCCCAGCCCTGACGTCCCCTGTTGTTTTCCCCCCCTCTCGGAAGCCCCCCCCCCCCCCCCCCCCCGGTGGGAAAACCCCTTTCCTTTTCCGCCCCCCCGTAAGAAACTGTTTGCCCTGGTTTTCTTTTCAAAAACCCCCGTGAATTTCCCGGGGGGGGCCCGGGTGGGTTTTAAGTGCCCCCCCAAAGCCCCCCAAGACCTCCCCCCCCTTTTTCTTTTCCCCCAAGGGAGAAAAAAAAGGGAAATTTTTTTCTCCGAAAAAACGAAAAAAAAGGGGGT